CAACTCTCAAGCCTGGCGGCCACCACCTCGTAGCACCAGGGGAGCCTCTCATCGGCCTTCCACCCCTCGGCCAGGAACTTCTCAACGGCCTCGTCAGCAGCCCTCACAGCGGCGGCCTCGGCCTCAGCTTTCGCCTTAACGGCCTCCTCGCTCTTGCGCTTCTCGGCCTCAAGCGCCCTTTGGGACTCCTCGAGCTCCCTTTTGCTCTCCTCGAGCTTGGCCAGGGCATCGTCCCTGGCCGCGGCGGCTTCATCAGCTTTTGCCTGCAACGCCTTGGCATCCTCCCGGAGCCGATCAAGGCAAGCTACCGCCTCGTCGGCCGAGGCAGCCTTCTGCTCCAGCCCTTTCAAGCGAGCTATCTCCCAATACTGCCTCTTATGGCTTTCCATAAGCATGAAGGCACTCTGCAGAAGCAAAACAAAGGTCAGGCAAAAGACTCTACACAGACGAAGAGAGACAAAAACATAGGGACAGTAACTTACTTGGACGAAGAGGTCCATGCCGCCCTCGTAAATCTTCTCGTCCCCGAGCTTCTTCAAGTAAGCCCGATCTTTGGTCGGCATGGCCTGGGCCAGGACGACGTGGCCAGGGACGAGATCATTAAACACGCCCCCGCCGACGGGGTATTCTACCACCTTCTGGTAGGTGGCACCGGCAATCTCCTTGCCGGCCCTCTTCGTCCGTGGTTCCTGGACGAGAGGAAGCGCTGGGGCAGCATCGTCAGCAACAGTAAGGTCCACGACGGGACCACCATCGTCCACGATGGGGACAGTCAGAGTACCGGCCTCAGTAGCCGGAGAAGGGGAAGGAGCCCTCTTCGTCTTCTTCGAGACGCTCACGCCGGCCTCAGTTAACTTTTTTTGGCCGTCAGAGGCCGGCCTTTTCTTCTTCGATGGAGCAGGCTTTGGGGCCGCATCAGCAGTAGCCCCGCTCCCACCGGCCGCGGCACGTCTGGCCGCCTCGGCCGCCTTAGCAGCAATCTCCTCGGCCGCTTTGGCCTTGGCAATAGCCATCATGGAACGACGGTCCATGACAAAATCTACAAAGGAAAAACACAAACAGATTAGTAAGGCAAAGGACAAAACATAAAGACAGAAAGCCGAAGAAAGAATTACCATCGGCCTCAGCAGGAATGCCCAAGTCCGGGCCGTCGGCCTCCTCAAAGGTGGTGGTCATCCTCGGCCAGAGTTGGAGGTCATCCTCCTTGTCACCATAGACATAGTACCTCACGAAGCCGAGGGCGGCCATCTTGTATTCAGTGATGTAATCCTTCACGCTCCTCGGCCCCCCTTCCAAGAAAGCCTCCACCTGAGCGTCCAGAATAGAGCTCTTCGGCGGGTCGTGCAGGTTAAACCTCCCGGTATGGCCGAGGGAGGGAAACTCGGTGCCACTCTCACCAATGGACACAAACACGAACTTGCTCTTCCACCCATGAATGGACGTAGGCAAATCCGTGAAACTCCTCTTCTTCGGCAGCTGTTGAAGAGTAGCATAGGCCGCACAGTTCTTGTGACTTCCTCGGCCTATCTGGTACAGATTCATGAATAGTGCCGTCGTCGGCCTGTAGCCCAACTCCTCACACCGGAGCAGAAACCCCACCATCAAGGAGTAACTGTTCGGCGTCAGTAAGGCCGGAGGAAGCCCTACCATGTCCAGGTACTCAGTAATGAAAGGGTGAAGGGGGAACCTCAACCCCTTAGCAAAACTCATCGGGTATACTCCAAAGTACCCCGGTGATGGAAGAAGAACATGGTCCGTCGGCTTGGGTGCCCTAACCCGCCCGAACGGCCCCACGTACATCTGGGCAACGAGATAGTCGGCCGCACTGCTTTCCGGCTTGATCACGAAGATGTTGGTGAGATCCAACTGGGAGGTGCCCGGCCCACTCTTCGGCCTCCTCACTCTCTTCGGCTTAGCTGCTCCCTTCACGGCAGACACCGGCCTCGGGCACGGAATGACAGCAGAAGTGGACGCCCCGTCCACCACTCGGGACACACCTACGTCCTCACCCTTTGAAGAGGAGGCGGACTCCTCGTCCTCGCCTTCCTCGTCCACTGGCTCTCCGGATTTGTATGGACTTAAACGCTCTATCTCCTCCTCAAACTCCTCGAGCACCTCGTAGTCAAGCGACCTCGTGGAGGGCTGGTCGTCGTAGGGGTAGTAGTCGTCGTTCAAGCTCTTCATAACTACTACTACGGGCCTAAGGAGATCTAACTTAAGATCTAAGGGTGTTCAAACACCTAACACTAGATCACTAGTCTAGGAAGCAAAATATGAAAAGTGAGGAAGATCGTGATGAACACTAACCTTGAACAACGACAAACACGAAGAACAAGCTTGGGAGTTTATCTCTCTAGAAAAATGGGCAGCACTTCGACAATTCAGAATGCAAATATGATTCCTCGTCGGAGGGGAAGGAGTATTTATAGACCCCTCCACCCAACGGTCACTACACGTGGCACTCTCCCAATGGCCACATCAACGGCCACCAACGGGAGGCCACCACGTCACCAACGGGCCAGGCCCAACCCACATCATCATCCCACTGGCAAACCAGACTCCAACGGCCTACACACTTGCCGGCTTTACAAGTACCAGCAAGCGCCCACAGGCCATCGGCTCCTCGTCATGATCTTTGATGATAACTCTCTACAAGCGATCTGCGCACAAGGGTTCTCCCACAGGGTTACCTTGGCCAGAAAATCGCCATGAGAGTTGGATTCAGGGGGACTACGGGGAGGCCGCTTCGGCCAAGGATTCAATCAACTCCTTCACCCCTCACACTCCTCGGCCTGAAGCAGTGGGGGACTGGGGGACTACACCGGCCTCAGCAAAACAAAAAGGAAACATCATCAAAGAACATGAATGTGACCACAAAGCATGGCCACATCATCCATACAGCACAACGGAACTTCATCGGCCAACAAGCCACTAGAGGCAAGGACACTCATCGTCCTCCGCCAACAATTAGTCTTGACGGGCCCTTCGGCCAAGAACACGAAGGCCAACCAGCAACGGCCAAAAGGAGTGCGCAAACACCCTCATCGGCCACCCAAAGGAAAGGACGCCATCGTCCTCAAAGCAAGGAATAACTTCAGTGGCCTCGTCGGCCCAAACACAAACTTCAAACATTAGCGCCCAAGCAAAACGTGCCTTCAACGGCCACCATTGAAAGAAGGACACTCATCGTCCCAAAACAAACACATTAAGGAAACAACGGCTTCCCCGCCCACAGCGAGGAACAGGTAACGGCCAAAGCACAGAACAGGATCACCAAAGAGGAAACAACACCAACGCCGCAACGGCTAACGGCCCGGGGATGTCGCATCGGCCAAGGGCAACAAAGCACAGGAATCTACTCTCCTTCGCTTCGTCTACGTCTCAGCTTAGAGAGTGGGGGACTCTTGATGGAGTATATGGGTCTGAGCCCCAGGACCCACATACTCGGAAGAACAGAAAGCACAAGACAACAGAGTGGCGCCCTCGTCGGCCAGGACGCCCCCGTCGGCCGAAAAGGGGCCAACTCGGATTATGGTCCTGAGTCCAAGGAACCCGGGTGCCCTCGTCGGCCGTGCCCTCGTCGGCCACGCCCTCGTCGGCCAAGAAGACCTCCCAGAATCGGATTTTACACTTACTCATTTGTACAGCCCATTAGTGGCTTTGTATTCGGCCCAGTAGCGGTCCAGTTGTAAATGGGCCTCCCAAGCCCAAGGCTTGGGAGCCCAACCCTAATTTTCTCTATAAATACTCCCTTTGGGAGTAGTTATAGGGGTTACAAAATCATTCTATTGAAGCATATTATTGCACTTCTCTCTCTAGCTCTCACTTCTCTCTAGATATACTCTATCAAGCATATATACTTATTATTCTCATATATAAAAAGTTATAATTTATTAATAATGTTACGGATCGGGTAACGGTGTTGTTACCCGCACCATTAGTGAACAGGGCGGATAACGGGGCGGATTAGTATAGAACCATAACCGCATCATTATCCATTAAAAAATTTCGGGTATTCCCCGCCCCGTACCCATTCCCCAGTCAAACCGGTTTTCCCCAGTTTGACCAAATTGGTTCGGTGCGGGTATCCAACGGGCCGACCGAAATTGTCATCTCTACATGGAAGTGGCTTTATATAGGTTGGATTAAGTTGTCATACCTGAAAGGTTGTGGTACCAAATAGTGTAGATGAGTAAAGCCTCCAAGGGTGTTTGGCAATGTTGCGAGTACAGAGTACTACATTGGGCCCTATATAAATGGATTGATATAAGCCAATGCCGAACCTCGATTCATGAGTTAGCTTCTCTGGTGGAGTAAGGGTTTACTTGGTATCCTGATATAAGAACGTATCTGTATGTTTCCACAAAGATCTATTTGAAGTATTTTTTAGGCTAAAGGGTCAAATAGGCCCTTGAACTGACCTAAAGTGTTTAATTAGCCCTGTATATAGAAGGTTCTTCCCGGCCGTCGCCAATTGGGGCGGTTCCTGGTGGAATTTTTTGATGAAATTTTTTGAGCATCTTCTTCATTAAGTCTAGTTTACTCATACCAAATTTCACCTAAAAATTCAAACGGGAAGGCACTCAAATGATTTTTTGAAGATAACTGTGAAGTTAAACAACGCAGTACATTTCGGAAAATCATTTGACTGCCTTCCTGGTTGAATTTTTAGCTGAAATTTGGTATGGGTAAACTAGACTTAATGAAGAAGATGCTCAAAAAATTTCATCAAAAAATTCCACTGGAAACCGCCCCAATTAGCGACGGCCGGGCAGAACCTCCTATATAAGGGGCTAATTGAACACTTTAAGTCAGTTCAAGGGTCTATTTGATCCTTTAACCTATTTTTATTCATCATATCTGTAGTTTTTGGATTGTGGATGGCATAATTATAATCAGCTGAACGCTTGGCATTACTAAGTTGCTGTGCTCTGTGAGATTGTTATTTTAATTATTTATTAGCTTGTCAATGAGACGGATTTGTTATTTGGTTTTGACAGGTCCTGCATTGGTCATTGATGTTCCAAGGGACAAGAACATTACCGGTAAATACATATCCCTAGGGGTGCAAATGAGTCAAGCGGCTCGTGACCTACAAGTGAGCCGCTCGGTCAAAACATCAACTTGAGTTCGATCAAACTCGAACTTGAATAAACTCGAGCGGGCTCATTACGCAATTGAGTTGAGCTCTAGCTCAATTCCTTTTAGCTCGTGGGCTCATGAGTTGTAACATATACATTTTTATTTATATATTTTAAATTTCAATTGATAGTAAAATAAAAGTAAAATGTTATTGAGTGAGAGAGAAACTAATAAAAATGAGAACAAAAATGTACAAAATTCCAAATATTATATACTACGTATTATTTATTTATTTATTTGCATGCATAAATATAATATTAATAATTTTGAAAATAGAACATCTTTTTTTAGCTTGAATTCGAGATTGAGTTCAAGCATCTTATTCGTAGGGCTGGGACTTTGGAACCAAGAACCGAAGCGGACTGAACTGTTATGACCCGGTTCGGTTCCAACAATTATTAGTTACTCCCTCCGTCCCAATTTGTAAGATACTTTACGGTTTACGATGTTTGATCGACGATAAAGTAAATTGATCTCTGTCAACACTCAAATTTGTTTTGGAAAATAAAATTTACATATTCAGAAACTACATTAAAACCGCTACAAAAGCAGCAAAAAATAATTCAAATTTCATAAACTTTTAATAAATAAAGTAAAAGATTAAGAGTGATTTATGTTGACCGAGTGAATAGTAAATGTATCTTACAATTTGGGACTGAGGGAGTATTTGTTAACGGTTCGATTCCTATTTTTATAAACAGTTCGGTTCTCGGTTCCTGAAAAAAATATGTACCCGGAACCGTTAAGGAACCGGTATATATAATAATTAAAATTATGTATATTTCTTATGAGTATATATATTTTAATGTGTTATTACTTATTTATTTTTATATTACATTCATTATTTTAGTTTAGTTATTTAACTATTTAAAACTATTATTCACTTCAACCGGTTCTCTTAGGCTTTTTAGGCCTCGTATTTGGCCCGAACTCCAGCGGGTCAGAACTCGGAAGGTCCAAACTATTTAAAATTATTACTCTTTAACTGGTTCAACATATTTGTATTGTAATTTCAAACGTTGAATGTTGTTTTGGCAAAAATTTAGTCTTGATTTGTAAGAATTTTTTCAAAGACTAGGAACCGCTAAATGACAAGAACCCAACCGTTAAGAACGGTTCGGTTCCTTATCGGTTCTATAAAATAATACTCCCTCCGGTTCTCAAACAACTTCCCACTTTCCTTTTCGGGAAGTCCTGAAATTAACTTCACACTTCTTCTTACTTCCTTATTTGGCAAATTATCTACACCAAAACAGTGCAAAATAGTGTCAAACAGTGCCAAACAATGTCCAAACAGTGTCAAACAGTGCACTCCACAGTAAAGTCAAATTTATTTTCTTAATCTGTGTGAAGTCAAATTGTGAAGCTCTTTCAGAACCGGAGGGAGTATATAAGAACCGAACCATTAGTAAAACTTCATATTTTCACGCGGTTCCACATATTTTTCCTAGGAACCGAACCGGTCCTAGGCCTACTTATTCGAATCCGAACACATAAAACTTAATGAGCAAAACTCAAGCTGAGCCTGAATCGAGCTAGGTGCCAATATTATTAAGCTCCTTGAAGCTCGAGCTCAAGTTCGAGCCAATGCATTCTTATCGAGCTCGAGTTTGACACAAGTTGTTTCAGTTTATGTCTTTGATTCTTAAATTCCAACTGTTTATCCAACTACTCAAGTTCTGGATAATTAATGAAACTAATATTAGTGAAAATAATATTTAGTAGCATATAACCAGTTTGGTGGTCCTTAGTGTTTGTCTTCTTTAAATCAGCTCAAGTAATGAGGTCCTTCAATATTCCAAAGGGAGTTAAGCGAGTGTTGTTTAGAACGCTTAACACGGACAGGTATGTGTCTTATCATAATTGCTAAATGCTAAGTGCTAACTAATCATCTCTTAGGGCTTAGCTAGATGAATATGACATTGCTCTATTAAGTTGTTTTTATAGAATTTAGAAGGGAGAATATTTCAGATTGAATTGCTTTATTAAGTTGTTTTTAAAGAATTTAGAAGGGATAATATTTCAGATTGAATTGCTTGAGTATTCAATTGATAAACAACCCAATTTGTACAATTAGGAAGTAGTCCTCTAAGGTAAGATATTTACTCTATATAATAATTACAAATATCGTGTCTTAATGATAATATATAGTAACAGTTGTAACCTATGTAGCACGGATACTGGCTAGGGTACTGTATCGGCGCATAGCCACATACTCATCATATATAGTAACAATTGTAAGATACTTGAATATATAGTAACGGTTGTAAGATACTTGACATACTAGCTCTTTGAATCTTCGGCAATTAAGCCCCTGATCGGCTCCGCTTGCACATTTGCAGCGGTCTGGAAGACCCTTGAGCAGCTTTACGGAACACATTCGGTGTTCGAGATTCGAAATCTCAAGGATAGATTTCGACACTCTCAACAAGAGGGGTCTCAGCCGGTGGGTTTGGATATAGTTTTGTCATATAGGGTTTGGATATAGTCAAAATCAACTTTGCACACATTTTATGTCTTATCCCTCAAATTAAGTGACATATACACTGCATAATCATCAATGTGCTAACTACGTCGCATTTTTATGCATTCTTGAATGTCTACGTGTGCACAATAGAACCCCAAATTAAGTCACATATGCACTGCATAACTACGTCGCATTTTTTTGCATTCTTGAAATGTGTACGTATGCACCGCTGAACCCCATCACTTCACAACATTTCTGCATCTCTGCATTGTTGGGTAAGCAAGTTTTTGTGTAAGAGAAAATGGACCAAGAGAAATGGTAGACAAAATCACAACTGCATCATTTGGTTGGGCTAAAAACTAGTATAGGACCCACTAAAAAATAAGTTCTCTCCACAAGCGGAGAGAAAGCATGAGAAGAAGGGTCTAATTTAATAAATTTAACTTCATTAATGCAATTGATTATTGTATATGTTGTGGGCGAACTTGCTTTTAGAAATAAAATTCATTTTCTTTCACTCCTTTTTCTCTCCTACTTTCAATCCAAACATGCACAATTGAACAAATTAACTTACTTCCTCTGTCCCTTATGGCCTTGCAATCTTTCCTTTTTTGATTGTCTAAAAAACTATGCCACATTTCTATTTAATGAATTAATTTATTCATTTATTTTTCCTGTTATTTCTCTTTCTAAACAAATCTCAATCACACTTTATTTTTACTTTATTATTTCACATGCCGGTCAAACTTGACAACTTTATAAGGGGTAAAGAGATTATTATTTACTTATGCTCTCTTCTCTCCAAACTCTACCTATCTTACTTCTTTCTTCATACAAAGCTAAGTGGGACAGATTTATTTTCAGGCGTCTTATGTGGAAGAAAGCATTTGACACAAGCTATGTGGGATTCATGAAGGATGGAGCACAGTGGCTAGTTGACAACACTGACATTAAACTTGTAGGTGAGATAATTTCAGTTCCTTTTTGATTTTGACCTTAAAATAGTTTATCCTTGGGAGCGACATGATTTTTAATGGATTTATGTGCTGGATTCAGTATTCATGTTGGTTTCGTGTGATTGCAGGAATTGATTACTTATCTGTTGCTGCATATGATGACCTGATTCCTTCCCATTTAGTTTTTCTCAAAGACAGGGTAAAAGCTTTTCTGTTTATCAGTTTTATTTGGGTTTTCCAACCAGAGACAAAAACTATGCCTGCATATGTAAAGCATTTATCAGTGCTCTCATTGCAGAAGAAGTGGGATGACATTAATTTTCATTAATTAACACACTAGCACTCCATATCTTTTGGGACTAAGGCTTGGATGTTGTTGTTGTTGTTGTTGAACACACTAGCACTCCATCCCAAATATGGATGGCACATTTGATCTTCGTCTGTCAAACTGAATTTTCTTCATTTCTTTATTTTTTTAATGAATGTATAGTTAAACAGTAGCTCCCCACGTATTTCGTAGACCTTTTAATGCATTCCATAGTTTTTTCATATATACATTTTATTTAGTGATTTTAAATGAAAATTTACAGCAGTTACCTGAAAAATGAATCAGTCAACTCTATGCTCATTTTGGGACTGATTAAGTCATGGTTGGTATGGTTATTAGGTTGAAATTACTGAGTTTTGTAAAAGGAAACCATTTTGTTACTTTATACGATAGTATCTATTTCATCCGAACAAGTAAAAAGAACTATGTATTCTGTTGATGAGCAGATTAGCAGAATAAGCCACTTTTGGCTACCAAATGGATCCTTAGATATGATCAGCTGATACTACTGATCAAATGCTGTAGGAAGTTATTCTCGTGGAAGCCCTGAAACTCGATGATATTGAACTTGGGGTGTATAATGTCCATTGCTTACCATTGCGGATGCTTGGTGCTGAGGGCTCACCCATTAGATGCATTCTTATAAAGTGAAAAAACTGAAAATGCTCACTTCCAACTGTTGTTACACAGGCAAGTCACACCATGCTGAAGAACAACCCAATATTATGCATTTTGCCCCCCCCCACCCATTTGATAGCCTCTTTAATCTTTACCAGGTTATTATCATGCATGTTTAGTAGTTGCTGCAAAAACCAGCTGGGGGGGGGGGGGGGGGGGGGGGGGGGATCTTGAAGCTATGCAAGTTGAAAGTGCCATCAGAAGCTTTAGTGGGATCATCTTTTCTAACTTGGATTCCTTTGGTTGAGATATGTGATGGCCTTTTTACTTAACAGTCACATTAAATATGCACATAGATAACATTTAATATTCCAGGACCGATGGCAGGTTGAAATGGGATATGCATTTGTATTTTTAAATACCCTTTAGTTATTCGGAAGTTTTAGTTAATGAATTGCTATGTTATTATAAAAAAATGTCCACATTGTGCACAACCGCGCTAAAATCGGAAAATCAAACGAAAGACTAAAACAAAACTGAACCTGGATGATATCTTGTCTGGTTTTCCGTTATGATCTACTCCGTATGAAATAATATAGTTCTAGTTTCCAGCCCGATTCCGGTAAAAGTCGGATTATTCTAAATGATATGCGGATTTTAACATAAGTGGTTGGCCATAGGTAGACAATTTAATATTGCTAATATGAGAAACATACAATTTAGTACCATTAACAACTTTCACACTAGTAGTAGTAACAATAGATTTAGAAAACAAAATACCTTCAATTCGAGTCACATGAGCAGAGGCGCACATGAATCTGGATATCATATAGACTCATTAGTTTCACCTGTGGGCAAAGAAACTAAAACTGGGATAGTGGAGGTAAATCTAGAGTAGGTTAGAGCAGAATGACTAGAGGAAAAACACAACTGACAAACAGTGGGAGGTGGAGGGGAATTTGAGTGATCAATTTATGGAAAACATGCACTGAAAGTATAAGTACCATGGGTAGGGAAAGTGAAAGTATAGGAAGAAACTAAACTAGAATTACCTATCATGTTCCTTTTGTCCCAACATGAGCTGTCCGTGACTAGGGTTGCCTAACACACCATAACCTGGTTGTCCAGTAGGTGCATGTGACCCATAATAAGCACAAGAATGTCCATTGCCGTGTCTGCGACCTCAGTGCCCACGTGCGCGGTTGCCACACTAATTGTCGCTGTCTCCACTTCACGGTTGTCCACCCCCTTGAGACGAATCATGACCATGCGGAAGCAACGGAACACAATGTGTGACCGAAAAAGCTTGATGGCCAGGTGATGTAGGAGGTTAACTACAAAGATATAGAAGTTGTTGTTCCTGAGCTAGTAAGATAGGCCCTAGAGCATCAAATCTAAGTGTGCTAGGAATGCAGGAGATGACGGTGATTAAAGACTCGTATTCCGTGCCAAGGCCTAAAGTAGTATATTCAATGAGGTCACAATTGTCACCCGGAGAGTTTCAGATAGAGAATCTGCCTTGACCTTAGTTTCAGATAGATATTATCCACGGTATGAGATTCCTTTTTCTTAGCATGGGATAATTGACGTGTAAATTCCATAAATCGGGTAAGGCTGGTGGACATAAACTGTATCATGGATATCAATAAGTGTGTCACGAGATAACGTGGCAAAAATCCATGAACGAACAGTTTGATCGACCTTGAGCCAGTGTTGATAGTTCGGGCTAACAACTTCCCGTGTAGTTGCATCCAAAACATAAGTATGAGGAATGTGAATAGATTTGGCATGTATACTCAGTAAACTATGCGACACCATGAAGGATTGGAATTGTGATCTCTAAGGGAGATAATCCTCCATGGCAGAAAATCTTATAGTAACAATGTTCGTTACAATGGGAGTGGAGATTGTCAACTGAGACACTAGGGAAGACAAGTAGGAGGTGGGGGTTGAAAAACCTGGTAACGGAGTATCAGAATGACAACCATGCGAAAGTACACCCACATTACCTGTATGTGTTCAAATAATTGAGAAGAGGCCGCCACGTGAAGGGCTCTGGCATGTTGAACAAGGCATAAGTGCATAACAGGAAAGGGGCGGAGCCATCATGCACAAGTTCAGTGCAAGCAACATCGATAGGGAGATGCTGACAGGAGGCTGCTCCGGAGGTTTCCGTGCGGGCGCCTGTTGTGAGGCAACAGATGACATCGTGGACATGGTTGAGTTACGACGGTAGCGGCGGGAGACAGTGTAGCGTCGGCTGCTCCAGGGAGTCTGGTGCTGTATAAATGATCACATGCATCATGGGGAATTAATTTAGGGACCTGAGGAACTGATATTATATGAAAATATAATACAGCGTAGGGAAAAGTACGGATTAGCTACCTGTGGTTGTAGCCATTTGCGGGGAGGGTCATAAGCTAAATTTTTGTCAAAATGATGTTCGTGGTTTACCTCCGTTATCGCCAGAGGGGTCTCAGCCTACTGCCGTTATAATTTAATGACGTGGCACGTTATTCGGCCTAAATGGCTGCCACGTGGGGTTCAATTCGTCCAGCTCAGTAAACATTTTGAATTAAAGCATAAAGTCATTTGATTTTGTTAGAAAACAATAATAAAAAGGAAAATGAATGAAGCATACAGGGCGTAACAATGAGTTCTTCGAAATCAAACTCCAGTGCAAGCACGACGAGGATTGACGGACGAAATGAGTGGATAAAGAAAAAGTTTCATGGTTGTGGTCGCTATTTCGCAGGTGGGGTTCAAAAATGCAATTTCTTTAGGTGGGTTGATGAAAGCTATTGTGGAGTGTCCCATGAAAGCACTGAATCACTGTTTGAAAAAATTGCAAGCGTTGAAGATGCTATGAAGAATAAGGAGTTCGAATTGCAGTGTCAAATCAATTCTTGCTTGTGTGTGATTGGTGATTTGAAGAAACAAAATGCCCAAATCCTATTGGCGATGGCTAAGAATGACAATTCCACTTGGAAGATGAAGATGCTCTGGCTGTTGGCGTTTGTTGTCATAATTATTGCTCCTAAATTAGTGTAGGTTTACAGCTTAGAAGGTGTTCGATGTTTGTTATTGTGGTCAGTTGTGAATTATTGCTCCTGAAAGAAATTAGTTGTGTATGTTTGTTGTTTTGTTGTTGAAGTATGTTTGAATTGTTGTGGTCAGTTATGAATTATTGATGGTCTTGTTTTTAAAATGTATGAATTATGGTTGAATGAAATGTTTGGTGTTGTTATGAATTGTTGTGTATGTAGGTTGAATGAAATGTTTGGTCTTGTATGTCTGAATGATGATGTTACAAGTTGTACTTGAACTCAAACATTAAAATTTGGACATCTTCTGTGTAATATAACCAATACATTAACACAATACATTATCAATACATAACATACCAAATTTTTGAATACAATACATTCAAAGTTCCTTAAAACCATCACCCAAAAACAACCCAATGTAACATTACATCACTGTGAATATCATCACCCAAAAACATAACCATATGTAACATCACCCAAAAACATGAGCACATTTTGGTCCAATACATGACTGCCATACCCCAAAACAGTTGGGTCCAAAAAAGTTGGATCCAAAAAACACAAACCAAATGCTTCAAACACAAACATAAACCAAATGTCACAATTTTACATAACTAAACATTCTCTGAAACCTCCTGCCACCTCATTCTTCTTCCCTATCTTGCTCAAGACTCAAGTCTTTGAACCATTAGCATTCTGCAAGAAAGTGAACATATTATTAGCATTCTATATCATATGTGATAACTAATACCGATGTTTTTGGGTGATAACTAAATAACATTCTTGTAAACAGAATTCTTGGGTGATAACAACCCAATGTAACCATCCCTATCACATTCTTGTTCTCATTTCCATCCCTAGCTACTGCACATAATAGTTGTCCTCCCATAGAATGCTTCAAATGACAGCCATCTAGACAAATCAAGGGTCTAATGCCAGAAAAATAGCCTTGCTTCTGAGCACTGAATCTCATATACATGTATTGTAACATAGGCAACTCTCTGGGTACCCTAGGAACCCCTACTTCACCACCAACATGTTCTTCCACCTCCCTGAGCTCAGTTTTGATCTTAACAACACTATCAGGGTTATATTTTAGGATAGATTCAGCATAATCTCTCAACCTCCTATACTGGTCTTTAATGCCTCCTGCTATCTTGGCCTTAGCCTTCACCCTAGCTCTATAGCACATGGCTAGACTTGCTTCTGCACGCAGCTTTCTTTGAATGGATTTTTGCATTGCAGTGACATCCCACTCTGAATTATCTCTCAACTCATCCAAATATTTTTCACTCAAATAGGTGTTACTCACCAGACTGTTTCTATTATTAAATGGACAGTCATGTTTAGGTCTGAAAGTTTTGATTTCGAAATAGGGAGCATCCCTAAGTCTGGAACCATGGACCCTGAAAGAGCAGGTATCCTTATTTTTACAAACCACAGAGATGTTGGACTTAGTGTTTTTCTGATATTTGTAATCAAAATCCCCTTTTATAGCCCACTCCTTTAGTGATTTTCTGAATTCATCATGTGAGCAGAATTTCATACCTTTGCACAATTCAGTGCCCTTAGATGTTGCTTCTTCATTATACTCAGGCAACCTAGCCTCATCATCAGATGACCCTCTTATGTTGTGTAGTTCTTCACTATAGGCTGGATCTTCATTGAACTCCCCCAAGCCTTCATCATTCAACTCCCTCAGTTCTTCATTTACCTGTCTGGCTTTGAGATGGCTAGCATCAACTTCGTGTTCTGCATTTGCCTCCAACTCCTCTGTGGAATCCTCAATTGCTTCATGAAACAACTCTTCTTCACTTCCTTCTAGATCTTCATATAACCAGCTAGCTTCACTAAGGTTGGAATCAGATAGGTCAATTGAAGAACTGTCATTGACAGAGGTTTATAGTGGTAATCTTCATCTGTCTCACTTTCACTACCATATTGGATTTCTAAAAATGTAATGGCTTGGGGTTCAGTTTGGGTAGTTGGTGGAGTGTAGGTAGGCATTGAAGTATGGGCTTCCTCAATGGTTTGGGTAGCCATAGAAGTGTGGGCTTCCTCAACAGGTTGGGTAGGGAATGTAGATTGGGCTTCTAGAACAGGTTGGGTAAGTACAGAACCCTGGGATGCAATATTCGAATTTGATGGTTTGGAGGAGTCTTTTATTAAATTCCCCTTTTTTACTTTTTTTGGAAACAAAGTAAACATCAATGTGTGGGTCCATGATGTTGGAAACCAACATGTCTTGTACATCTTTAGCACAAACAATGGGTTGCAGAGAAAAAAGCCCACAAACGTCCTTAATGGTGAACCTTCTCAACCACATATCTACCCCATTACTATAACCCAAGTCCTCAGCATAGCCATCCAACTCAAACTTACTAAGGTAGTCTATGTCCACATTTCCCTTTTTCAGCACATCACCTCCCAAATACTCTTTTTTC